GGGGGGTTGCGTTATAGGTTGAGCCATTTGATCCAGACAATTAAACTGTTAATCCAAAAATCGCAGCAAAAATGGTTCCATTTCCAGGTCTTTTAAAAACATGATTTAACATTATCTTCTTAGGGAAACAGAAATGGTTGGATGTGTGATTTACTGAGTTACAAACTATTTTTGCATCTTTTAAATTACTCTTTTGCTTGGTGTAAGTCGATGGGATGAGATGGACTATAAGTCTTGAAGTTGGGAGATTAACATGCCTAAAGTGAAAAGAGCTAAGGATAGAAAACTGGAAAAAGGCTAAGTTGCTGAAAAGATTAGGGCAAAAATGACTAAGCAAAGGATCCCTTCTTTAGGGCCCTGGTTCCCTATTTATAGAATCGGGGAGCTAAGGCTACATGCATGGATGTTGATATTTCAAAATATTCTCCTACTTTAACGAATATGCAAGAAACAAATCCCGCCTCTCTCCCTTCTGAACGCATGTACCGAAGACCATAAGGTCATTAGACCATGTTCATGGGTAGATATTCTTAATGCATGGCTGCAAGTGCCGTGAGGTGAGGTGGGTGGAGGTGGGTGTGAGAAGAATCCTGTGAGGAAATCTGGACAGGTCAAGTTCAGTATGGGTTTGCCTCCACCCTAACGCAACCCAGCTTAATGATATGTAGTACTCAAACCTGTCCCAACTCTATTGGGTTTAACCCAATATCGACCTGACCCAATTTACAATCTTTAAATTGCATGAGAACACATCTCTGCCCCACAAGGAGCTGCCCTACAATGCTTCACAGCACATCTCCGCTGTGTATTGGGAACATCTCCCAATGATAACATCATCGGAACTGGTACTATCATTGAAAGATGTTCCCAATACATGGCGGGGATGTGCTGTGGAGCGTTGTGGGGCGGAGATGTGAACTCAAATTGCATTCTTTATATCATATTTTGAATACTTAAAAGCCATTAATTTAAGTTGGAATTTGATTTATCCGTATAGCACTTCAAAGGAAAACATTAAAAATATCCTTAAACTTTAAAAGCAATGGAATTATAAGGCATAGCAAATTATAAGAATACACTATATACAGTAGGGGTATCATGACCCAGCATAGTAGGTAGAGATGCTCATAAAAATTTGAAAAATCGAACCGTACCAAGAAAATTGAACCAAAAAAAAATCTGGTTAATCGAATTGATCAATTTGGTTTTGGTTTGATATTTTGAAAAATCAAAGGACTGGTTTGACTTTCGGTTAACCTGAAAAAACAGTCGTTAATCAGATCGACTGATATATATTTACATGTATATTATATATTTTTAATATATAACATATATTATCTATGTATTATATATTATATTTATAATTATCTATTTATAATATATAATATATTATATATTTATACATTTATACATTTATTTATAAAACATATATCATAAAATATAAAAAACTAAGAAATTGAATAACCAAACCGGTCAAAAACCAAAACTAGTCAACTGCTTTAACTAGTTGATTCTGTTTGGTTTTGATTTGGGAATTTTCAAAAAACGGTAGTATTTCTTCAGTTTCAAAAAAAGAAAAAAAATACCCCCGCCAAACTGTGGGCACCCCTATTGGCAGGTCAGTGAAACCTGAACCCGACTCGGGTTCAAGGTTCAAAATATTGATACGCCGAATACATCAGTAGAGGCGTATCAGGCAATACCGGGAGTTTTTTTTTTCAAATCTGATTCAGAGGAACCGGTTTAAGGTCTGTCCACCCTTTGAACTAGTCAAAACTCTGATACACTCTCTGTAGGGGCATATCGAGAAGCTCCCGATACGATACTCATCGGTGGATACATATTGATACTTTGAACCTTGCTCGGGTTAAAGAATCAAAACAGTGACCTTGACTTTATAGTCTTACACCCGACCCTAATCCAACCTATAAGATCGGGTGAAAGGCGGGTTTAGTTGGACTTCCTTTAACCTGTCAAGATGTCGAGGGTGTTTGGTTCAGTTTACGTTTATTGAGAGTGCTAAATAGACACCACTTCAGCATTTTCTATCTCTTGCTCTTATGCATGCATCGAAAATGAAAAAACTCAACTTTGGTTTATGTGCATGCCAGTCGTTTGCATAAGTTATTTTTTAAGGGGATGTTTGGAACCATGGTCGTTTTTCAAAAAAATGGTGCCACATCGGATCCACATAGGCATTTCAACAAACGTCCATGTATCTCATTGTTTGGTTTAGCCGATTATTAAAAAATCGGGCATGCCTCGAAAATTGGGACTCCACCAATGCCTGAAACGCCAAATTTCATGCATCGATGAATCCTTTCCCCCAACGGTTGATTGATATGTATCCTATGTGGTGCTTACCCGTCAGCACATACATGAAAAATGGTGATGAAAATCACCTTACCAAATAGCATAGTGTTGCTCACTGCCTATGTGGTAGAAGCGTTTTTTTGTAAAAAACGAGTCTTGAAAGTATGAGTGTTTTTTCTTGAAAATCAGTCCTAAAAAACGTCCACGCTTCCAAACACCATGTAAAGCTTCCACAAACGGCTTTTACTCTTACTGATGTGAACTGGTTATCATAAATGATTTTACCAACAAATAAAATGCAAACATTTATTCAATAAACATAAACGGAACAAAACACATACGTCGTTTGATGTAACGGTTGAATGGCTGAACTGAACCCGAGTCGAGTCCACTTGTGGCCGTTACCACCATCAGAGAGAGAGAGATGATGGGAGTCAGAACTATACTAGGCCAATGGAGGAGTACAGCGAAGGAAGTATGGGATCGAACGCTGATAGTTGCCAAGTTCCTCTGCGTCCTCCATGTCACCAACACCTACATCTGCACTCCCACTCTCGTATTTTCTTGTTTCTTCCATCATTTTTCCATTCATTTTAGGTTTTTATTTGCTGAAGAATGGAAAATTTACTGCAATGTGGTCTGAGATTTCAGGTTTACGGTCCCAGTATGCTACCGACCTTGAATCTGACCGGCGACGTTATTCTGGCGGAGAGGATATCTACTCGGCTCGGGAAGGTGGGGCCTGGCGACATTGTTCTCGTTCGATCTCCTGAAAACCCTAGGAAGACTGTTTCCAAGCGTGTGATGGGCATGGAAGGCGACCGGGTGACCTTCCTTGTCGACCCCAAGAAGAGCGACCGCTGCCGGACAATTGTCGTAAGTTCAATTTTTCATTCCGTGGTTGCTCAGGTGTGATTTGAATTTTCATGATTCTGGATCCTCATTGTAGGTGCCAAAAGGGCATATTTGGATTCAGGGGGATAACGTATATGCTTCCAGAGATTCAAGACATTTTGGACCAGTTCCTTGTGGTCTAATTCAGGCCAAAGTGTTCTTCAGGGTGAGCTTCCATTCTTGAATTGGGCTATTTCTGAAGTTCGAATTTTTTTTTTTTCTGAAATTGTGCCATTAGTTACACATCACCATGTGGAGAATTTTGTGGGACGCGACACTATCACTCAACCCCGGGGCAGCACTTGTGTTTTCTGTGTTGTTGTTACCACGTCATGGTTATTACTGGTCCAGATGATGAGCTTTCCAATTAACTGATTACTGTTTTTAGAAATTAAAGCATCCTTTGAATTGGCATCTCCAGATATGGCCACCTGAAGGTTTTGGATCATTGAGACAAGGAGAGTAAAAGTTACTGCATCTCAAAGGTACATTTAATCTATTTTTTTCTACCTTAAATGTAGTAGCCTGGCTCATATTCATCAATGTTTTAGAAGTATAAGGAATGGAAATTTTGCTTACTTTGGGAAATTTAAAGCTGAAAGATTCCTAGATTTGATTGGGAGAAAAGATTTTTAGTGATTGGTGCCAGCATTTACAATTTTTTAGATGGTCATATGGCTATAACTGCTTATGTTATTGCACTTGTGCAAGTTCTAGCAACTAGATGAATCATAATGGAATCTGTAGATATCAATGTTAAGTACACGCCTGGGATTTTTTTCCTGGGAAAAATAGATCTTGATTTTTTTTATGGTTCTGTTTGAGTTACTAGATGCTAGGCACTCCTCAACTCTGTCTTAGTTGACTTACCTGGAAATGTGCAGCACTGGTTTCTACCCTTTCTAACTCAAAACCTCCATTCACTACTTTCAGAGGGGCCTTAAAGATTTACTCCAGTTAGATTTAACGAAAGTGATTCTAGCCCCCAAAGATTTTTTTTGATCAATACACTACCCACCAAGGATATGTGATTCCTTTTCCATGCTGCTAGTTTTTTGGAGAATCTTTCCACTATAGTTATCCCAAAATGATCCCTCAGGATACCTCCTAGTAGGAGGCAGCAAAATCACATTAGTACTGATAAAAAATTAAATAAAAATCAATTAGACGACCATGTATCTACCATTACCTTCTCTGTTAAGTTATTTTTCTTAAGCACTTCTCAGATCTAGTAACAGAATACCCTTCAGGTTTGGTCAAATAACTTCTACTCAAATTATTTGCTGGTGATTACGAAAAGTGAGTAAGAATTATAATGTTTTCCCTTTTGCACTAGTTTTAAGTGTAAAGACCAAGACACACTTAATTACATGAAAAGTTTGGAATAAACTGTTGGACAGAGGCCAACAAGTTTTGATTGTATATTACAAGGAGATTTAGAAAGATATTTTTTCTAATTTGGGTCAAACCCATTCACCAGAAACTGGGTACAAGTTTTGATTGTAGTCAGTTTTCAAGTCAAGGAACACTTTTTTTGATAACTAGGAGCACAATTGTCCATCATAAAATAATAAGGTTTCACTTAGTTGATACCAATAACAATTTCCTGTGCTTTCTGAATGTACAAACAATCCTTACTTTTGTTCATCTAGCCTCCTACTCATTCTTTGGTTTAACACTTCCACTACTGTCATAGTTCTAATGTCCACCAGTTAAAAATGCACAAATGATCTTTACTAGTACTGACCTCTGGTTTTCCACAGGAGCAAAGATAATAGTTAATCAAGGTTTATGAGACTTTAGACTAAAGTGATGGAGTCTTGCTAAATGTGCTAGGGAGATATTCATCTCTCTTCTTATTGTATCAGTGTAGGGTTTCGTTCTAATTTTGCCTATTCTTTTGCTAGATGTTATTTATACTTTCTGTTTCATTTTAAGTGTAATTGGCCAAAGGAGTTTGACTTCTTACTTCAGGATGTGTTTTTTGTGTAAGAATCTATGTTAAGTTTAAGGTGGTCAAGAGATCTTGTAACCAAACTGTTCATGAGTTAGCATATAGAGGTTATGTTGTGTCTGGGGAATGTTTTGGTTTGCCTCCCAATTGGTTGAAGTTGGTCCTAATGGAAGACAATGCTGGTTGTTCATCCATGGGGAGCAGGGTTGGGGTTAGTTGATAAGTGTCTGTTTGTATGGGTCTTTTAGTTGTTTTGTTTGTGTTTCTTTGTCTTGGTCTTAGTCCTGTTTGTTGAACTCTCTTTTAGCTTGTTAATGGATCTATTTTATACCAAAAAAGAAAAAAGTAATTGTAAACACCTCTTTGAAATCCAGGTCCAAAGAATCCACTGTTATAGATCAGCTAATAATGGTGTTCACAAGGATTTGCAGATTCAAATTCAATGGGTACAAAGATTAGCTAATAGCTTGGCAAAGCATGGAGTTAATAGACATCTTTTTTGTTCTGTGATGTAAAATATAGTAGTGGGTAGGACAGATGGGGGCCCGAGGCTCTATCTTAATTCTCCTGACTTAACCACAACCTCTTGTTGTACCTTTTATTTAATTAATGAATGAAATCCTCATTCGTGTTAAAAAGAATCTGCATGCTATAACTCAAGAAATGAAAGAATCTTTAGAATGAAGAATATTAATTGCTTTCCTAATCTTCAATCAAGGAGGGCAGATGTTACGATCCATTTGTCCCATGTTGGTAGTATGGGATGCTAATGTGAAGTATCCCACATTGGTAGTATGGGATACTGTTGTAGGGTATATATGTGCTTGGGTTCCCTCCCTCTAACAGCTAGCTTTTAGGGGTGAGTTCTCCTAAAGCAAATAACAAATGATATCAGAACCTACACTATGCCTCCCAGTTGCAATCGTGCAGCGCAGGTGGTAACGTCGGTATTGCAGTGTTCAGATGGGACTAGGTGGACTAGTGCAAAGCCAGCCTGCGTGGGGTGCCAGGACTGCGGAGCATGGTGGAATGTTACGATTCATTTGTCCAATGTTGGTAGTATGGGATGTTAATGTGAAGTATCCCACATCAGTAGTATGTGATGCTATTGTGGGGTATATATGTGCTTGGGTTCCCTCCTCCTAACAACTAGCTTTTAGGGGTGAGTTCTCCTAAGGCACATAACAACAGAAGAATAGCTGAAGCCTAGAGCAAGACCAATTTCTTGGAGGGAGTTTTAGGAGCTTTTTTTTTCCTCTCTACTCTCCTAGACCCCTCTAAATTTTCTGCATTTTTTGAATTTTTAAAGGATGTAACCAGAAGGTATTAGTAATTCAATTGTCATTAATTGTAAGAGACTTTAGAAATTCAATTGTCATTAATTGGAACTCTTCATTTAATTTAGTATTAACTCAGTGCTATTCATTATGTTAGGAATTTTATTTAATATAGGAAAAATTAAATACAAATGTTAATATAAGGTTAGATGTCTTAAAACATTAAAATTAAATAAATCAATTAATTTGGCTGGTTCATTCCTAACCAAAATATTCTATATTAGTATTAATTTTCCCAATTTTAATTTTATAATTAGTTTAAGCCTCTATGACGGTATTCGTGGATATGTCCATAAAAAATGTAACTTATTGAGATAGTCCATATTTCTCGAATTCTAATTATATATAGACTAAAATAATTTATTCAACGAATAGTTAGCATAGCATTCATCTATATAACTATATTGCATAAAAAAAGGATTACATCCATGTTAACAATTCAACCATCTTGGCCTGTGGTGGATCAACAGTTCAGCCATCTGGGCATCATTGTAATAAAGATATAAAAATAACACACAAAAACAAAAATTGTCCATGTCTTTATTGTTGTAAACTTGTAATTAGGTAGAAGCGTAGAAGTCCAATCAAATCCAGCCGCATCAAAGTCCAATACAATGAAATTTCAATCCAAATCTCATCAAGGTTCAAAGTATTATACACTACCCACTGATGGGTGGGTGGATCAGTTGGTATGTTTCTCGCCTCGTTCCGGCAGAGATGGGATTCGAACCCCGCAAAAAGTATCCATACGCTTGATAATGAGTGAAAGTCTCGATGCTATTTGATTTCCACCCCATAAACTTTAGTATAATTGGAACAGTGACTCAGGGAATGAATCAAAATTCAAGAGAGACGTTGAATCATCTACGGAGGTATTGGTATTTGATACATAAAAACCGAAAAGTTAATAAAAATTCCAGAGTGAATTGAACTCTTAATTTCTCTTGTTTTTTTATTTATTTTGGGATAAATTGCTGAAACCGGTTTAAAATATCGACATAGGGCTCCGATTAGGGGTGTCAATGGTATTCGAAAATCCGATGTTGAATTCGAGATTCGATATAATTGAATCGAATTTGGATAATTCAAATATCTAATCGGTCAAAATCGGATTTTGACCGATTATTTAAATTTTATATATAATATATAAAATTTTTAAATGTTTTAATAGAATTTATATATATAATAATTAAATTATATAAATGTTTTTTTCATATATTTATTAATTATCTAAAATAATTAATTAGTTAAATTCAAATAGAATATTCGAATATTTAATTGGATTCAAATTCAAATATTAATTTTCAATATCTGTCGGATATCAAATCGAATTCGGATATCAAATTTTTTAATTGGATTCGAATTCGGATATTGCCTGATCCGATTTGAATTCGATCTGTTTACACCCCTAGCTCCAATACAATACATATTGGCTGATACGTATAGATACTTTGAACCTTGAACATACCCTGAAGTTTGGTAATTGCAATCATTTCTCCTGAACTTTATGGTACTTCTGGAAGTAGACCCCCTTTGCTACAAGCCTAAACTCTAACAAGAGGCATGAAATAGTCCAAAATATTCATGTTATTTTGACCAAAATGTTTATTTTCCAAATTTTCTTGTCATATCAATTGCTACCCCAAACCCTTCCAATCTCTTTTTGAAAATTGATTTATTTTTCAAATTTATCTGTCATATAAATCACTCAAAGGTAAAACTGCAACTTTAAACTCTCATTTTTTTGGTGGTTGTTCATAAAGTTTGTATTGTTTTTACCATAGAAACCAACCTCAACAGTAACTACATGGGTATTTTGGATATTGTAAAATGATTTTAACAAAGGGATCTACTTGCAACTATGTCAGAAAGTTTAGGGGAGGTAATTGCAATTACCAAACTTAAAGGGTGGTTTCAACAATGGTGATAAAACTTCATGGAAGGCTTCGTCAATTTTCGATTTTGATAACTTTTATTGGTATTTGGTGCTACGCACCACTAATAACCCCCTCCCTTTAATAATGAATTAGTTGATATAGATATTAATTATTAAAAATTATAAATGTCCAAACTCCTTAAAAATAGAGTATTGATCATCCTGAAAATTGGTATGCATGGTACAATAGACATTCATATGTTTGGATATTTTGAACCTTGATCTAATCTGAAATCTGATATATGAAGCTTGGATCAGATTTGGGTTGGGCTTTTGTCAAATCTGAAGGTCTAAGCCCAAAGAGTTATTGGACTTAGATGTGGCTGGATTTTTTTTTATGGAAACCGAAATGTGCAACACAAGCTGGGGGTAGCACGTCCCCACGAGTTAAGTGAGTTAAAAGATCTGTCGCTTGATTTGCCTCTCGGAAGACATGGTGGTAAGAAATCCTCAGGTTGAAAGCATCCACGATCTCCTTATAGCTAGAAATTATGCTCCTTAAATGCCATGAGGGGAAGTGGATCGCTAAAGACAAGAGATGACCAGCATTGAGTTGCCTTCCATGATGATGGGGGTGTCTTTGAAGTTAAGAGCAAGATTATGAGCTTCCCATGCAGCACAAGGGCCAAACCTCAGCAACGTTAATGGTGGTGCAACCCAATTTATAACCTTTAATGTCAAGAACATTTCTGGAGAAGTCTCTAGCAATGCTTGCAATAGAACAACTTCCATCCACACAGGAGGTGTCGAAATTAATTTTAATGGATCCCATCTTGGGGCTCTTCCAAATGACTTGCTTCCATGATTTGGTAGGTTTATCAACTTGCTTAGAATGAATACTACTCCAGAAGTCATTTAAATGATCAAGAGCCCTCTTAATGACCAAAGAGGGAGGAGTTGAAATATTAGAGAAAGTTTTCTGATTTTTGGATGTAGCTGGATTTGATTTGAATCTTATTGAAGCTTCAACTCGGATCAGACTTAGATACTCCAACTGAAACAAGCAAAGAATTATTACTCTCAACGTCAACATAGCTTCAACAAAGATTCAAGCCATCTTAGGTTTCTCCAACTTTCATTGTTTAAATTCAGTTTAAATGCATAGTCTCTTGGATGGTTCCACACATGTAAAGAGCAAGTAAATCTCTTTCTTAATAAGAGCTTTTTGTATATAATTTTTTAAGACCCCTAAATTTACTCCAGGTAGAGGAGCGACCACCTTAATTTTTATTAATTAACCGTTATCAAAAGAGAGAAAAATAGAACTATGGGAGGATGTAGCCCACTTTGCCCCAAAACCAAAATTCAAAGCACTCAATTTCACCATCTAAAATGAAAAACAATACATCATAATGAAACTAAAAACAAGTGACCAATTACCCTATATGAAGAACAAGAAGCCTTTTGTAATCTTCTTTATGTAGCTTCACAAGATCACACGGAATGTTTTGTGTTGAATAGTACAAGAAACTTTTCTGATCAATACCTTTATTGGCCAAGAAGTTTGTACACCAGTTCCCTCTCTAAGAACATGAGAGAATTTTATTTGCATGGTGGAGCTCACTCTCTTAAATAAATATTTATTTAATTATTAATTAATTAATAATATTTAATTATTATTTTTAATTAAATAATTATTTGATTATCATTACTTATTTAAGTAGTTAGATAATCATTTAATTCAATAACAAAATCATTATTTAATCCACACTATTTATTTTTTAATCAATTAGCAATTATTTATATTTATACCATATTTAATTATTTAATTAAGTCATTATTTATTTAATTAAAATTATTTACTTAATATGATTAGTTATGTAATCAATACTTTGTTATTTATTTAACTAAATAATGTTATTTGATTAATTATGTGGCTATGATAAAATTAATTTAACACAATTATAAAACTAGTTATTTAATTATTTCGTTAAATAATAAACAATGATTTAATCAAATAATTAAATATTTTGATTCAATTAATTCAGTTGTAATTAAATAACAATGTTTACTAATTTTTTAATGATTTATTGAATATTATTGAATACTTTTTTAATTATTAATTTAATAATTTAATGATTTGAATATTCATTATTTAATTATTTTGTTATTTATTCAATTACAAAATCATTTACTTATTTAGGGTTCGTTTGGTTCATGATTGGAATCGGAATCAGAATGAGAATGGGAATCCCTTGGAATTAGAATTGGAATGGTCTATTCCCCTTACCTGTTTGGTTCAAACAGTAATCAAAATTGGATTCCCATTGATGCTGTTTGGTTCATCTGGAATCGGAATCAGCCATGATTTTCAATTTTGCCCCTAATGAAAATAAAAAGCACAAAATGCATGAAAATACCAAAAAAAACAAAAATTGCAGAAATTATGATACAATATTTTTGCAAAAAATTCAGAAATTCTAATGGTCTCAGTTTGAACTTTGAATGAACCGAGCAAAAAATTAGGATACAATCGAAACAAAAGAAGTAGCTAAATGGTAATAGATGCAGAAATAAACAAGGAAATTTCCTCCATTGGCCTTCCTTTTCACAATTTTTGTAGAGGCCGGCCATGACTTTTTTCTTCAAGTCGGACACAGAGAGGCATTTGAATAATCTGTAAAGTTTGACGAGTTGTCAGACGAGAGGAGCTTAACTCGCTCCCTTGAGAGCTGCTGAGAAGAGTTATCGGAGGAGAGGGACGATTCCTCGTAGATCATCTTGTAACTTGGAATGTACTCTTGGAGCATGTCGGCGACCTCCTTGAAGCGCCGGAGGTAGAGGAGGGATCGAGCTTTGAGCTCCAGAGACGACTCAAGCCGCGGAGAGAGGGCAAGAGCGGCATCGAGGAGGTTGAGGGCCGAGGCGATCTCCGACTGCTCCTGGGTTGCGATGAGTAGTTGAACATCTTTTACATATTTGTTTACGATCTGAGAAGCAAATGCAGGTCAATTAAGATGGAGTCAAGAAAACCCAGGGCAATCCGAAAAACCCACCTTCATGGATTACCTTTCTGTGCCAGGAGCCACTTGTAGATCCACAGAGATATCAAGATTACCTTCATGGATTACAGATCGACAGAAAGGCAGTCCGAAAAACCCAAAATGAAACATCAGCAGAAAGCTTAATAAAACAGGGGAGGGAAGGCGATAAATCGAATCCCACAGTAGATCATCGGTAAGAAAAAACAAATAACGAAGCAGAGAAAGTGAAACCCACCTTTCTGTTGCGAAGCCACCAATGCTTAGGACGGGTTTTTGGTTCAAAAAGAAAAAAAAAAAAGGAAACTATAGCGGAATGGGAATCACATTCCGGGGGTGGGGGTCGGAAATGGCATTCCGCCTACTCATTCCCATTCCGGTTGACCAAACATCCGGAATCAAAATGACCCATTTCGATTCCGATTTCAGGATCCTATTCCCTCAAACCAAACAGACCTTTAATTGTTTAGTCATTGAATTATATTATTTGATACTTATTTAATAATATTCAATTACTATCCCTGGAAACATTTAGTTGGTAAGTGCCTAAATCGTTGAAAAAACCCTAACGGCCTAAAACCCTTACTTCAGCATTTCGATTCACGCTAGTCTATATAAACTCTAGTTCGACTTTGTTAGTGGGAATAACCTAAAACCCTTACTCCAGTCTACTTGTCTTCTTTGATATCATCTCTCTTTCCATCTCCATCCGCAAGTTCTCATCACTGAACCCGCTGCCGCTGGAACCTGGTAGGTTCTCTCTCTTTCTCTCTTCGCGGGCCAGGTCGTAATCCTACCTCATTTTCTTCTTTTAAACTCTGTTTTATGTTTTAGATTGGGAGAAGACTTAGAAACGGGTGTCGAACGTCGCTGCCGATGGTCGAACACCCAAATAGAGGAAGATCTTCATTTTGAACATTGAAGCCCCATTGAATGATGGAAACAAGATCGAGTACCCTCTTAAGGAATCGGTCTTACCAATGCCTATTTTTTTTTTCTCCACAAAAGATTCTCTTGACTTCACTTTCGGTCGAATTATTATTATTTTTTTTCTGCCATTTTTTTCCTCCAAAAAAGATTCGTGTTTTTCCATGTTCAATAAAAATGTAGAACAAGTTGCTTGACTAGTTTGAATACAATTTGATGCTTCCACAGCTCTGATTCGAATGTCGGATATCTGATTAGTGATAACGGTAACGAATCGAATTCGAATCTGATTAAAAAAATCGAATCTAAATGTGAAAAATCTGCTGGATTCTGATCGAGTCGGATGTACTCGATCCGATCTATTTGCAGCCCTACCTACTGGAAAGTGACGTTGCTTCACAAGCATGAGGGTTTCGTCTCTTCAAGGCTCGCCGCTGCAAGAGCTGCTAGTCTAGTCTCCCTTTTTCTCTTTGTGCTCATTTCTTTTGTTATTCTCATTACGTTTTCTTCTCCGGCGGTCTTACCAGTTTCTTTTGGACGGATTGAAACCAGTCCGGCAATCAGGAGAGCCCCCAGCTAGACGGCAGCTATTTACAGTGGTGTGAGCACTTGGGTTGGTATCTGAGTGTTAAATGGCTCAGTTGCAGGCCGTGTTGTCATGTCCATCCAGCAACTTTGTATTCCATGCCTCCAAGAGATCAGGTGGGGTTCGTGTTTCAGTTTGATTCCCTTGTTTTTGTCATGCCGGAGAAAGTTTCATTTTTTCGTTTTGTTTCTTTAATGGTTTTGTGTTGTTATTGTTATAGATTCGTTTCGGGACAAACTATGCTGCCTAGGGAAGTCATCTTCATTCCAAGAGGTAGCAGATCGTTTACTCCATTTCATTTCCTTTTAAGCTGTAATTACTTGAATCATGGATGTTACAGCTTCATTATCTGTCATACTGTTTTTTACAAAATGATGTTTGGTTCCACCTTTTTTGAGGAAGGTTGTGTATACTGTTAACCCATGGCTTTCAGTGTGCAGGGTAGGGAGTTTAGGGATTTATCTTTCTATAAATTCTGTTTAGCACAAACTATGATGCTCTGAAGTTTAAAAACTTCTGTTTTTGTATATTGAAAGGATCTCATTTCATCCTTATTATGCAGACACACAGTATCTAAGTGGCTTTATCCTGTTTTGTCTCTTGAGTGTTTTCTCTCCTAGTAATGAGTTTTATCTTTTCTCAAAAAAAAAAAAGTTAGGGGTAAGGTCCAGTGGACTTCATGGGAGTGCGCTTGTTCATCACAGGGGAAATCTTGCTCAAGCTTCTACTGGACGAGGTATTGATATCAGTTATTATTTATTGACATTATTGTTAAAGGGGGTAATTGTAATTTCATGGAAGAGTAATTGTTCTACCCAATTTCATCAAAATGGAAATTAAGAGTAATGTTGTTTATTTGCATGGTCATTTATTTTTAATCAATTTGCTCACATGAATGGAAACATCATCATCATCTAAGCCTTATTCCTACTTATGGATTTGGCTATATGAATCTTGTTTCATCATTCTGTTAGTGCCATATATCCATTGTTAAAAATATGAGTGCTTAAATCAAATTGTTACTAAATTTGACCCATGTGCTTGGTCTGCCCCTAGCCCTTCTAGCACCTTCAACTTGTAAGAGTTGCTTCTTCCTACAGATATTGCAGGTGGTCTTCTATGCATTTAACAAAACCATTTTTAGTCTACTTTCACTCATTTTATCATCTATTGGAGCTACTCCTATGTTCTTTCGGCATACTTTATTTCTGATCCTATCTTTCTAGCTTTTCAACTCATCCATCTCAGCATTTAATTTTTGCCACACTTAATGTGTATGGTGTTTCAATATAGTGCCTACTGTTTGAATTTCTTACTAACTTGGGAAAATGACATTTATTGCATATGTTGTTGAGGCACTGTATTTCCTTGTGAGAGGTTTTGGTTTGAGTCATCTCCTTGATATATTAGTTGCCTACAAAGCATAAATGCATAAGTCGTGTTCTATCTATGTTACATAAAGTGGACATGGAAAGAGTGATGTGAGGGAGGTTCAAGTCGGTAAAATATTGGGTTTATTCTTTTTGGGTGGGAGGAGTGAAAAAGAAGAAAGGACAGTGACAAAGATGATGACAATGGTATTCTTGATGATGAATTATCAAAAAAAGGATGTGGAGTTATCAGTAAAGCTGGATAGCTGGTTGGTTGGGGAAAAAGCAGCATCTGGTAGCCTACTGGGAAAAACCAGCATCCCAGCCATTACCTGCATCTCCATGAATACTTCCTACAACTTTGTGCCAATGTCTTTCCTTTTCCAAAGGCCATTTGATCTGGAAAAGGCCATCAAAGGTTGGTCCTAGCTATTTTGTAACACTTTTAAATGTGTCACATGATAATATCCAATGGACGATTCTTGCCATGATGAATTCTATGAACTGGTTTATGTTTAACTCCTTGTTCTCAAATACTCTTGCTGTGATGCCCTGTTTGCTCCATAAGATTGCATTTCTTGTGCAAGACCGCATTAGTTTTTGCCCTTTCGTGTGACAAGGAAATGAGTGAGATGAAAATCCGTTATTTGAGATTCTCTGAAACCCCTTCGTGCAAGACTACATTAGAAGACCTTTTTTAGGTCTTCTAAAAGGTCCAATGCTTCAATAATTTGACATTCTTTCAAACCCCTCATCAATCATAGACATCAAGCTGGTCCACTCATTGACAAGGAAACAATGTTGTCATGGTTTTCTTTTTGTTAGTGGACAAAGCAAGATTTTTAGGGTAAGTTTGCCTCCTCACCAAGGGTCTTCCCAAAATTTCACCATAGGCCCGACGATAATGTCATACTTGATATGCAAGGAGAAGGTAGGAAGTAAAGACAATGGCTTTTCAGAGGCACCACAAAATGGCATCTCTAGTATCTCCAAAATTCTATCTATTAGCTTGAACGCCATATTTGCTTCTGACCACGGAATGCCATAGTGTTCTCTCCCTATGGAATCTCTACAACCATTTCCCTAGCAAGCAATATTTTTGTCCCTTAATGTGCTCAGGTCCTCCCTCTTTATTTTTTTCTGAGAAAAGGTAATGTAATTTTATTAGATTTCAGAAATAGAAATACAATAGAACCCCCATGCGGAGCCCCTTGGGCAGGAACCCTTGCCCTCAACAAAGCCCCTAAGCCCTCTTTAATTTGCAAACCTTATATCCCATTTTGTTGTTAGGTAGTATGTTTTCTATTGTCTTGGTTCCCATAGGGAGTTCCTAATAATTTTGTGAATGCTTTTAATGACTGCCAGATGATAGACAAAAGGTTGAAAAGCAACTTTTCTTGGATTTCCTCCCAATGGAAAACCTAAATATTTGATTGACCTGGCCTTTACCTCATAACCCAAGATTCTAGCACATTCACCTGACCAGTGATTTAAAGGCATGCCTCAGGTGTGCCTAGGCGCACAAGCGAGGCACGTTTTAGGGTATGCATCTTGCCTAGGTCCTAGACACATGCTTGGTGTGCCTATGCGTGTGCCTGATGCACCTTGCGCCTTAGCCCAAGCGTGTGCTTTTTGAGAATTTCACACTTTTTTTGCTTTTTTTGAACTTAGCGGCTGGGTTGGGGGCTCTGCCCTTGGATCCCTGTACCACTCCCCTCAAGGCAAGCCCAAACAAATCCAAGATTATTTGCTAATGTTGTTCATTCATTCATCCTAATAAAATATCTTCTTAAAAAGAAGTTAAAATTATAAAATCATTATTTTTGTGTGAGAACTAAGAATTTAAGACCCTAACATGGATTTGTTTGGGTTTGTCTCGAGGGTGTGGCACAAAGGCTGCTCGTAGAATCAGGAATGTAATATGTTTTACATCACATTAGCTACTTGAAGTAATGCTGTTTGATTTTATTTTTAAATTTTCATTTGAATATGCTTTACATGTTATGTTTATGTATTTTAATTTTAGATAATAGATTTTTTAAAACATTTATTTTAAAATTTAAGTTTATATCTTTTATTAATATTATGTTTAATATTTTTTGCATTTTTTTTATTCTTGGCATTTGTTTGAATTTTCTGACATTTTTTTGTTTTTTAGTTTTTTTGGTATTTTTGCGCATTGCTTCAAAAAGGCGCTCACCTGCCTTGTGCCTTGGGTGCAAATTGGTCCCTGGTTCTTTCTTGCACCTTACACTTTTAAAACACTGCTTCTGACTCACTTTGTTCTAAATGAAATCCCATTATGCTGCAACTGGATCAATTGCTTTTCAATCCTATAACTATTTCCACCATCTCCACAATTGCTTGCAATGCTCTTACCTCTTGGGTACTCCTGAATTCCCCCATGATTATTGTATCATCAGAAGATTGCGATTGCGATTGCGATACCATTTTATCATGTCTCCCCACTCTAAAACCCTTAATTAAGCCTCTTTCATCAGTCTATCCGAACAATTTGCTTATAATCTTCACAACCAAATAGAATCATATTATGGTGTAGTATGTTGTGTTATATAAGGTTGAGAATAAATCTTCTTTTTTGGTTTGCTTGCCATTCTGATGGTAAAAAATTCTTCATTGCAGCCATTCAAGCAGTTTTGTCCAGCGAAAAAGAAACAGATGTTTCCACATCTCCAAAGGGTGGACTGCGTGGAAGATTGAATAAAGTGGTTTTGGCCTATAGTGGTGGTTTGGATACCTCAGTTATTGTCCCATGGCTAAGGTATATGTCCATGATTTATGGCATAGTTGGGTTTGATATTCATATGGCTTTCATATTCATATTTACTGCTGGATTGCCATGTTTTAATTCTGTGTTTATGCCTCCTATGTTTTATTTCCCCTTATAAAAGAGAATAAATAAAGACGTTTTTCCCCCTCAAAATGTAAAACTTTCTTATTCTCATCTTCATTTATTACATTGAATGTTGCAGGGAGAATTATGGCTGTGAAGTTGTTTGTTTCACTGCAGATGTTGGTCAAGTACGTTTTATGTGTGATTAAATTCAAAATTGGGTTTTATCTTTTGAAGTTTGCATTGCAAAGCTATGACCAATAGAATGTACTCTAAGCTTGTATTGGCTTATTTATTTATTCTATTTTTTGAAGAAATGTAAGGTAAGAATTTTATTAATCAAATAGGAGTACAAAAACCTCCAAGGATAAAGACCCTGGCTGGGAAAAAGAACTACAATACAACATTACACTTTCCAATGACTCCTAGAATTAAGCAGCCACACATAGATTTCTGATGGAACACTCTTCTATTTCTTTCAGCGCACACAATGCTAATTACAGCCACTGGAATAGAATCCCTGACACAGGAAGCTAACATTGAAAGGCCTTGCAGATTCCAACCCCATAGCAGATCCAGAACAGAGCTGGGAAATGGGAATGACCCAGGCAACACCCATGGCATTTAGATGGTACCACCTAGGGGTGGCAACGAGCTGAGCTTTTCACGAGTTGCTCGAGCTCGGCTCGGATTCAGCTGAGCTTGAGCTCGAGCTCGAGTCCAATTCAGTGGCTTGATTATTAAACGAGCCGAGCTCGAGCCTACTAGAGCTCAACTCGAATATATATATATTTGATATTTAATATATAATATATATATAATAAAATTATAGAAAATAATATATACATAATGAAAATATTATAATTTTTATTTTTATAAAATATTTTTTCTAAATCATTATATAATAAAATATTTATAAAATAATAATAAAATATTTTTATAAAATATAAAACGAGCCGAGCTCGAGCTTATGAATTCTTGACTCGAGCTGAGCTCGAGCTCAAGGTTCTGGCTCGAACCGAGCTCGAGCTCGAGCTCGAGCCTTGTAGAATAATCTTGAGCCGAGCTCGATCCTGGTACCATTCAGCTTGGCTCGAATCCACCCCTAGTGCCACCAGAAGCGGGAAACAAAACTGCAGCGGAGAAAGGGGTGTTCAGTATCTTCAACTTCCTGACCACACAAACAACAGCTCTGATCTTGATTCTGGACACCCCTTCTGATCAGATTTGCCTTAGTAAGACACTTATTTAAAGCTGCTGCCCACAATAGAGCATTAACTTTTGAGGGGTAGAGTGGGTTCCAATTTCAGAATCCTCGAAGCAGGAACTGAGCCAAAGCTGCAAACCGTCAACCTATGAGCAAAGGATTTAACAGTAAAGAGGCTATATAGACCGGATCCAGGTCTAACCATCCTCCAAGCTGGTGTCCACCTCCTGACCCAAACAGCAGGAGTAATTTAGCAAAGCTTTCAAACACCCGGTTCTGAAAGTTGCTCTGAAAGGTAGGACTCCAGACTGCCACATTCCTCAGGAACTCACAACATTTAGCCACCATTGCGTCCTGATCAAAGGACGGTTAGTACACTAGGGGTCCTTCCAGAAAGCCACTCTGCCATCGTTTCCCAAAATTGGCTTGAGACCCCTGCTAAAGTTTTGGAAGCAGATCCATAATTTTCCAAATTGAACAATCAAGGAAGGGGAGGAAGTGGTTATCCAATTTCCTCTATCCACCATACTCAGCAAGGGGAGGAAGTGGTTATCCAAACGTGTATTGGTTTATGCAAGGATGAACTTTTCGTAATGTATCAGTTTGTATCGCCCGATACATATTGTATGGGTGGCCCACTGATACGTGAAGTACAGGGAGTTTCAGGGAAGACCTGTTTAAGGGGGTAGCTAGACCTTATACAGATCACTCTGGACATGTTTTAAAAAAAACTAAAAAGAAGAATAAAAGTGTGCGCTTTTAAAGTCTGATACACCCTATCCGACATATTGGACTGTGTTTATGTAACGCTAATTTTTGTAGGGCATCAAGGAACTAGAGGGTTTAGAAGCAAAGGCCAAAGCTAGTGGAGCTTGTCAATTAGTTGTTAAGGATCTGAAAGAGGAATTTGTGAGAGATTACATATTTCCTTGTTTGCGAGCTGGAGCAATTTATGAAAGAAAGTACTTGCTTGGAACTTCCATGGCTCGACCTGTTATTGCTAAGGTAAGCTCTTTATGCCTGCTTCCATGCTCTGTTTACTTAAGCAATATCCTTCTTTTATTTAATGTGCCTGAAGCCTATCCTTTTTTTTCCATAATCTCTAAGTTGTTGGAATCTTGTTGGTTGCTTTTTTAGAAATGAAAATCTTTATCGATTGCTTTATGAGTATAGCATTTTGATTCTAGTTTCATAGTCCAAATCAACTGCTTTGGAATAAGAGGCAATTGGGCGGTTTGATCTTTACTTAGAACAGGTTTATGCTTTGGGGAGTGGTGCTAGATGGTGGAAGGAATGCAGCAATGGTCAGTTTCATTTAAATCATATTACAACACTTTCTTAGGAACCAAGTGGAGATTTTTGATATAAGAGTGATTTGTGGTAACTCTTTCCCCCCTAGGGTGGAAGCATTTGCTTGGTTGGTGGCCTTGGACAGCAAGCTCATGGTTAATCATTTGAAAAGGAGTTTTGGGATGACAAGTTTGTTTTATATGTCTAAAAATTGTGAAGAAGACATGACATGTTCGTTTGTTTCTTGCAGTGGTGGTTTTCCTACTGACCCATTTTTTTGGTTCAGATTACAAGTTTTCAGGCCTAAAATCCAGACTAAATTTTCTCTTTGTGGCCAAATATTGAAGGATATAAGGAGGCTAAAATCTTTTGGTTTTGTATCCCTTTTGCTATCTCTTGGGGCATTTGATTTAATACAGAGGAATGTGGGCAGAGTATGTGGTGAACAGATATTGGAAACTTGATTGTGGACTGGGTATTTTTGAGATAAAGGGCTGTTTGCTGAAATAAATAGCTTTTTGCTTTGTCTTTTAGTAATATTTTCATTTTATAATGGGAACACCCTCTATTTATTCCTTTTTGTAAAATTTTTAATGTCTTTCTGTTTCTTTTTTCAATATTATTTTACTTTTGCCATGTAAACTATAAAGATGTCTGAACATTCTATCACCACATCTGTGATTGCCAGGCCATGGTTGATGTTGCAAAAGAGGTTGGAGCAGATGCTGTTTCACATGGATGCACAGGGAAGGGAAATGATCAGGTATATCCCATAGGTTTTTTTGCTCAAAACAATATTCCACTTGTATGTCTTCCTAAGATCAGTTTGTGGTGCTTAATTTATAATTGCAGGTCCGGTTTGAATTAGCTTTTTTTGCTTTAAATCCTGAACTCAATGTTGTGGCTCCATGGAGAGAATGGGATATTACAGGAAGAGAAGATGCCATTGAGTATGCAAAGAAACATAATGTGCCCGTCCCTGTTACAAAGAAATCTATCTACAGCAGAGACCGAAATCTGTGGCACATCAGCCATGAGGTAATTTATGTACTTTTTCATTATGCTGCAAAGGAATCTCCACTGAAGTACTGATGGTTTTTCCTTGTTAAAGAGCTCAATGCCTAATTGCTTACTAGGTTATATTTTAAACAATACCTTTACTTGTGGTGTAACTACGTTGCTCTATTCTGCTCTTTGCTGGAAGCGAAACCAAGTGACTGAATGAGGTGTTCAAAGCCTTGCCTGATAGTTGTTCTTTCTGTGTTTGATCTGTCCTGAATTTCTTTTTGACATCAATAGGGTTTGTTAGTGGTGTAAGGTAGAATGTATAGTTGGGACAAGGCTTGGATGATGATGATGATAGAATGTATTATCATGCATGCTAATAAGATGGATCTATAGTAATAAATATTATAATAAGACACCCACTTTGTGTTTTTTTTTTGTCACGTGGTTGGTGCCTCTTTGATATAGAAGACATTCAGGCTAGGTACCAAGCCAAAGGTGTCTAGTCAGCTAGGTGATGACTTAACTATTTACCATAAAGAAAGAAAGAGAATTTTTTAAGTGGTCTTTCATATGGGGAAGTGTGAATTTCCCCTTTAAATTAGTAGTTTATTTATACAGAATCTTGTAAAAACTAAATGGGCTTTCTGCCTGGAAAGAAGAAAAAGCCCAACACGTGCCTGCAAAATAGGGGTGCAGCCTGAGCCCCACCTGATAAAAAAGAGTTGGGTATTTGTGCAAAATAAATCTCCAATTTCAACCTTGGCATCACCAGTGAAGCATTGGGAGATCTAGATTCAATTTCCGAAGTTGATTAGTTAATGATTTAAATGAGCAGGAAATATAGGTGAAATGAGAGGTTCTTGGTTTTTGATATTAGGGTGAAATTCTCCATGAAATATGCTAGTAACAAAATGATGCAAAGATGGAGGTCAAAATGGGAGAAAGTGATAATGGAATTTTGAGGAAAATTCATGTCAAGAGTGTCTAGACTTTGGTGGGCCTACCCTTGTCAAAGAGTTCAATGACTTGGCAAATTTCCCATATTTTTCTTTAGGCAGATGATTCAAATTTGTTCTGTTTTTGCTTCCTTTGGCTTTGCTATTTTAACTTCGTTCTTATAGTGTTTTTGCGTGGGAAATATTTCTTTGAGAAACTTGTATCATGGAATACCAAGAAGTGTCTTGGAAAATCAAATTATGTTTTATTGCTGTTATGAAAATCCAAGAAATGGTTGAAATGAAATTTTGTTTCATTTGACATTGAAGGGAGACATTCTGGAAGACCCTTCAAATGAGCCAAAGAAGGATATGTACATGATGACAGTTGATCCGGAAGATGCACCTGATCAACCTGAGTAAGCAGACTTGCTTGAATGTTTATTAGTCCATGAATTCATAGTCCTTTTTAGTTCTTTTTAGGCTTGAAGTGGTCCAACTTGTCATGCAGATACATAGAGATTGGAATAGTCTCAGGACTCCCTGTTTCAGTCAATGGGACGGAGCTTTCTCCTGCTGCGCTTCTTTCAGCGCTCAATGACATTGGTGGGAGGCATGGCATTGGTCGTATAGACATGGTTGAAAACCGGCTTGTTGGAATGAAAAGTCGTGGGGTATATGAAACTCCTGGTGGGACCATCCTTTTCACAGCGGCCCGTGAGCTGGAGTCTTTGACACTTGATCGTGAGACGCTGCAGACCAAAGATACGCTTGCATTCAAATATGCAGAGTCGGTGTATGCAGGTAGATGGTTTGATCCACTCCGGGAGGCAATGGACGCATTCATGGAGAGTATTACAAAGACCACCACTGGGTCTGTGACTCTAAAACTCTATAAAGGGTCAGTTACAGTGACTGGCCGGAAAAGTCCGTACAGCTTGTATAGGCAGGATATATCATCTTTTGAGAGTGGAGACATCTATAACCAGGCCGATGCTGCCGGTTTCATACGGCTTTATGGCCTGCCTATGAGGGTTCGAGCAATGCTTGAAAAGGGTATCTGATAATTTTTCTTAGATGATAGTCGATGAGTTTGTTTTCTTTGTTTAAGTGTTTGATGTTGAATCGAGTCCTTTATTTTATTTTTTCTTTTTGTTTGTAAACTGCTCTGTTGCATGAAGATGAATAAAATAGTGATTTCCTGGTGCTGTTGTTAACAGCCTTGCGGGACGCGCTTTTTTTTTCCCTGGTACATGGTGGGACCGTTTCGGCCTAAACTGAGCTGAGCCCACGGGCTCCCAGAACATATCCCACCCGTACATTAGGAACATCTCCCGCATTTGTCTTGAGGCCAATGCCGGGGGTGGATGTGCTGTAGGACGCTTGTGGGGTGCGCTTTCTGTGAGAAGCCAAATCAGAACATATTCCAACTGCCTATCTCTCCCCTTTTGCCACTTGACACTAGGGCTGTTCACGGGTCGGGTTGGGTCGGTTTACTGCTGTTATTCCAACCGACCCGACCTGGTTGGGTTACCTGACATAGAAACCGAAACCGATCCAGTGTTAAGCAAAATCAACCTGTTCGGTTTAAGTCGGGTTGGATTGGTTTGGGTTGGTTTTGGTTCTAAGTTCATCCCTGTGATAAAATCTTGCTAATTTTAAAAACAGTCATAAATTGAACATCATTTCAGCCATCTCCTATGATAAAATTTAAATGAAAAGTTAATCACAAAAGGTGTTCATTAATCACTATTCACTAACCAAAGTTTCTTGCAACCATTTAAAAACTAGGTGGCCTAAAGGGCTTTGGAACTTCATGTTTGAACTAGGAACTAAGTCGGTTCAGTTTGGGTTGGTTTCGGTTTTCTTGTGTGAAAATCGAAACCGATTCGAATAATTGGTTTAGGAATTTGCACAACCCGAAACTGACCCGTGCTGATGAAAACTCGGCCGACTCAGGTTGGGTCGGTTCGGGTGGTCGGTTTGATCGGGTTGGGTCTTCTTATGAACAGCCCTACTTGACACTTGATAAATTATCTTTCAAATCTTTAATCGCTCCGTTTAATTTGCATCAGTACAAATCATTTGCACTGCCATGGTTTTGCATCACTTCTATTCAAGACGAGAGAAATCGAGAAAGTTAGATGGGAAGATCTTTGGGGTTGCACTACCCCGTCTCTGTTATTGCCCCTCTTTTCTGTACCAAAAAAAAAAAAATCTGCACTAGCACAAATACATTAGTGGAGAAAAATGCAAATTCTGGTTCGTATTTGTATTGGGTTTCACTTTGCTTTGCTGTAGGTTTTATTATACTTAATCTACAGTAAGGAAAAAATTAAGATAAAATGATTAAGAATTTGTATTGAGATCATTGAACAATTATAAATTTGTACCAGTGTAAATGAAATTGCACTGCAGATAAACCTGGTTGGCTAAAACTTGCGGCTATTGTTTATATATGATATATGCATTGGACTTCCGGAACAGCCATCCTATACTTGAGGAGGCAGAGGAACTTATCCTCCGGTTCCCCCATGAAGACCCTCTCTGAACTTTCGGATTTCAACACTTTACCCATGCCATTGTCATTCTGTTAGTTAAATTCATAAACATTTTGTTAAACATTTTAAAATCTGACCCAAACTATTCTTTTGGTTCATTTTTTCCTAAAACCTTAGCTGTTACATGTTTCTATCAGCTTTCTTTCAATTAAGTATCTTAATTACTTCATTTTGATTTTTGTTAATGTCAGTCATAGAATCATAAATGGGCAACTTGAGGGGTGTTTTTTTTTTTTTTTGAAATTGTCACATCAATTAAAAGCAAAACATGCCATTAAACTCTTGTTTTGAAAGACAAAAACAAGTTGATTTTGTTTAAACAAACAATGCATGTTTTTTGAGCCATCAAAATGATGGTTGTTAAAAACAAAAACAAAAACAAAAACAAAATCTGTAGTGTCAAAAGTATATGATTTATGGAACATATTATTGAATAACCAGAAAACATGTATTTGAAACAAAAAAAAAATGAACATAATTTTAGTTTCATTTTTGAAAACAAATGACACAGTTACAAACAAAGAAAAACAGTTCACTTTGTATAACGCTGCGTTATTAGTAAGGCAAAGTGATGGAATCTAGAGATTCAGTAGGATCTTTGTCATGAAAAAAAGTTCGGGGAGCTAGGTACAGGTGATTAACTGTAACTTACACATTTAAATTTTAATTAAGTAATTTGGATTTTTAATAAAACAATAGATTGATGAGTAATATATGTGCTAGCTTAATTATTTTTTTCTCTTATGGAAAATAATATGCATGTGCTAGCTTAATTATTTTTTTCTCTTATGGAAAATAATATGTGCTAGCTTAATTATTTATTTTCTCTTATGGAAAATAATATGTGCTAGCTTCTTGGTACAAGGGAATTCTTCCATCATCAAGTAAAGGATATGAACGAAGCAGAAAATTGAGCCAACAGAAAATTGTTGCTAAATCTTACATCATCAAGTAAAGGATCTCAAACAGAAAATTGAGCCAACAGAGTCAACTCTAATATGAACGAAGCAGACCAATTGTTGCTAAACTAACATACGAATCTCATCGTACCTGGGTGCATGAACATGAAGAATCGTCACATTGTCAGATCAATTCAAGTGGGGACCCTCAAGAGCAAAACCAATCAAGGAATGAGAAGTACAGGAAAAAGAAATGAATAGGAGCAGAGAATGCTGGTTAGCAGAAGCATCAACGCGTGGCTGTAGACTACTGCAGGGGTTCCGATGTCAACCCTGGGCGCAGAAGCTTGTTGAGGAATCGGCGCGTGAGATTCACCGCCTGATACTGGTAAATCCGGAGCATGAGGTACCTCAGGGGTTTCTTTTTCGGGAGGTGGAGGCTGGTGCTGCCCAATGGGAGATGGTGGAGCGTGGGGTCCGTTGGGAGCTTTAGGAGCTCGAGGATGAGGAGTTCGTGGGCTTCCTCCGCCTCCTCTACCGTCTGTATTGTCATCGGAGGGGCTTCCAATTTTATCACTTGGAGTTTCAGGTACAGCTTCTTTTCCGGGGAGTGGGAGGACGTCCACCTGGATCTTCAGGCCCAATGCACAGTGGCCAGGCATTCCGCAGATGAAATACCTGGTGCCCGGTCTGTCCAGCGGGATCACCGTCCTAGCGTCGTTGTACGTGTGGACAGGATCGGTTATCTGACAATCCGTGAACGCTCCTTCCTTCACTTCAATCACGTTGTGATTTTGCTTGTAGATGAACACTGCAAAGCGAAGAATGGGAATTGGGATTAAAAGCGGTTAGTAACGAAAGCAAAAAGTTCGTTAGTTTCTTTTTCATTGACAAATTTACCCCTGACAGTGATGGGAAACTAAAAAGCTCATTATTCATCGGGGAGAAGTTACCAAAAAGATTAAGGGCATTTTGAAGAAGCAAAAGATTGTGAAAGTTTTCTATTTCGGACAGAGAGTAACAAACCCAACATGTATTTTGCTACTATGCGTCGAAGTAAACGTAAGTCTTGGGTGCATTTTAACCGGTTCTAAAATATACGCCAGCGGCTTATCGCTAACTAACGATGCATGCTTAGACAGTGAGAGATCAGAGATGGTCTAAATCGTCGAGTGTCGATTATTCTTACGAATCTGAAGAATTTTGACTGTTTATCTGGTTTTTCTTTGGATGTTGGAATTCTAAGCGCATATTAGAAATAAGATCAGATTAGGCTAAGAGCAGGTTGTTAGGTTCAGGAGGTGACCTAGGTTGTCTCCGGTGAAGAAATTTCTTGAGGAACTCCACTTCTGCATGTCGGTCCCGAGCTCCCAGCCTGCATTTTCTCCGACAGTGTGATCAGTTGCAGAGACGCAACGGAACAAGATCAACAGGAGAACTATCACGAAGATTGCCTTTACAGCCCAAGCATGGCGAGATCGATCCATGTTCACTTCAGGTTCCAGGTCAGATACCTGCATGCCCAACCGAAAACAGAATCAGAAGATCAAGAACAGATAAGTTTTCTTGAACTTCAAATGACGCACGGTTTCCATGGAGCTTCTTCGGAGAAACACAGATCAAAACTCAAAGATACTAAAGCATGAAAACACAATGACTAACTTAGAACGTTATTACAAAGTATTGCATCATCATAAAAGATCACAGATCTATTACGATCTTGATGTATACTTCCATTTCTAACACGAAATCTGATACAATAAGTAAAGAACATCGTAATCAATTAATGAATTCGAGAAATTGAAGCTTTGGCTAGTAGTAGAAATATTGAAGATCCTTCAAACAATCTCTTGCAAGAAATACTTCTCCAACTCCAATCTGTAACATTAAAATAGCACGGAGAGAGAATACTAAAGAGTAGAAAAGTACTTCAAGAAAGAGAGATGAGCGTCGATAAGCTTTCTTTTTTCTCTTGAACTTCAGGATCAATCACGATGCCAACAAGATTACTGAAAATACCGGAGATGGAGAGAGAGAGAGAGAGAGAGAGAGAGAGCTCTGAAACTGTGTAGTTCGTACTCGTACCAGTTGAGAGGCTGGAGAATGCGATGTGAGCTTCTCTCGTCTCCTTACCGCCTTTTATGTAGATGAAGTGATGAACTGGATCGTGACTATTCGCGTTGTTCGCACGTGGGAAAATACATAACTAACATGTTGATTGTTGAGTGCTACTTGGGCGGGCTTGGGCCAGGGGAATTGTTAATTTATCCCGGCCCACAAGCCCATGCTGGATGCAGTGTAAATTCTTCAAATCGGCTACACAATGCACCGTAGGAGAGTCCTGCCATGTCTCATGTGGCTGTCGACCGTAGACAGCCAGTTTGGCCAAAAGACTGAAAGAGTTTGACATATGGATATCTTTAGACCTGATTTCATTTACCTCTCTCCAGTTTTGTTCTGTTAAAGATTTATGCAATGATAAAGCTCATATGGTGGTTTTAGTAGGGGTGAGCATTATTCGGTTAAAGTCGAAATAGCGAATCGAAAATTTTGATTTCGGTTTTTTAGTTTAGTTTTTTTTTTTTTTTTTGGGTAATTTGGTTCGATTAATTCAGTTTTTAAGAATTTTGATTTTCAGGGTTAAAAATTTGGTTAATCAAAAAAATCGAATTAACCAAAATTCATTATATAATATGAAATATATATTATAATATGCTATATATTTATATATTAATATATTATATATAATGTATTATAATGAAATTCGATT